CATAGGGGGCATTCTGAGAAGGGAGCCCTGGAGCAAGGGTGTGGAAAATAAAGGCTGTGGAACTTTGACTTTGGTGTGTGTCCAACTGTTCTTGGAGATTTAGGAGGAACCTGTAACACTCATGAAGACCTACCCACCTACCAAGTTTCATTTCAATCCATCCACTGCTTCTCGAGTTATCTTGCTAAACCACACACACACAAACACACCCACACACACACAGACAAACGCTACTGAAAACATAACCTTCTTGGCGAAGGTAAAAAGAAAAAAAACTTTTGAAGAAGAAAAACTTTTGAGGAAAAAAACTTCTGATGAAAAAAACTTCTGAAGAGAAAGTATTATTCAGCGTAAAATTTTGATTGGTTTCTATCCCAATGTAAGTGCCAACTTCCAATTTTGAATTTCCCGCCAGTAGATTAAGTTAGTATAGCTTCCCGCCAACTCCCTGCCCCCCTGAGCACCAGGGTAGGGAGCCCGTCTGTCTGGGACTCAGGTAGACAAGGCGACAGGCAGTGCATAAGGCACAAGCAGAGAGACAGAAGTCTGGTGTGGTTCGTGAGTTAGGACCAAAAAGGCCTGGGCACAGCAGTCCCAGGAAAGACCAGAAGAGGATTACAAAGGCCTGGATACAAGGATCCAGGAAATCCAAAAAAAGGATTATCAAAGGCCTGGATAGAGAGGGTCCAGGAGATACCAGAGGATATTCTGTGGAAGGACGATGAGACCATACCAGTTTTACGCCAAGAACTCGCCAAGAACTCGCCAGGAACTCGCCAAGAACTAGCCAAGAATTCACCAGGAACTTACTAAGAACTTGTCAAGAACTCGTCAAGAAGTTAACAAGAACTTGTGCTTTGTTCCTCGAATTGGGATCAAGAAATCAAACTGCCCTAGGAATACAATTACCAACAAGAACTCTACCAGCAAATTCAGAAACATCGAACTTATACGGCGGAAGTAGAACATGGCGGATTTCAGTTTGTATTACTAACTCTACTGAAGATTAAACATTTATGACGTATTCCAATCAGTTTGTACGACTTCTTCCCTGAAGACCAACAGAGGTGAGTTCGGTAACACTTCCTCATACGTCCATCCCATGCAGAATAGCAGCAGCCACAGTAATAAAGTGGTGCTGCGCCTACACCCAATGTTTTCCTAAAAATCGATAATGTGATTGTATCAATTTTAAACGCCCTAAAATTAGCTAAATCGGCGCTTTACGGTGATTGCGCAATACGCTTGCCCTATGACCTTTGACTTTACGTGTCACGCCGCTCTGATGCAGGCGCCCTCCCCACCTCGGCCGTCCGATTTGCCTGCAAATTTCTACTTTATTAAAGGGTTTCGGGACCTAAAAACTAACACCAGAGGGAAAATAAACCACATACGTTATTTTTATGGTAAAAATTGCTAAAATGGACCAGGCATTTTTCTGCCGCGTTGCCGATTTTGAGAAGGACTTGCGGCCGCCATGTGCTTTACGTCGATAGCGAATTTTCTACGGTTTCGTAAACGTATCGGCTTTTAAACTTATTTTCGGGGTCAAGGGCTTTGTTTTACCAACAAATCAGACAATAAGTGTTGTTTACACGACTTCAAAACGCTAGCGGGGCGCCCGATGTTCCACCAATGACAGCGATTCTCTCGGTAGCGTCGTGCAAATTATGTTTTGGTTCAGCAATATGCAGGGGTGTACACAAAAATAAGGCTAGGGTCGGCGTTTTTTTTTTTTTAGGGTCGGTCGGGAAACAGGAAACACAACATTTATTTTCCTAAGAGGTTCAACCTCTTAGTTGCTGCAGCCATTATGCAGGCGCATGTCTTAATTTTTGATAGGCGCACCGTGCGCCCGTGATTTAACATCTAGTCGCATTCTCAAAATTCTGGGCGCAGTCACGAGCGCTGCGGTTTTGGATAGTCTTCCCAAACGTAGATTTGCCCCAGGCACAGTTCTGGATAGTCCACGATTATCCAAAACTGTGCCTTAGCATTATTTTAGATAGTAGTAACGCAGGGCTTTTCATTAAGCAGGCATGATCAGGAATGGATGGGTGGATGGATAAATGAATTGATGGATAGATAAATAGATGATGAGTATCTATATAACTTGTGGGATGGGGTGGCATAGTGGTAGATCATTCGACTGTGAACCGGGAGACCCGAGCTTGATCCCGAGTTATACCCGGGACATGTGTGGACATGCGCCCGACGTGGTGCACTTGGGAAAGGCACTTTACATGACTTTCCTCACTCCACCCAGGTGTGAATGGGTACTTAACTTTGGTTGGGGAAGGTTGTATTGAGGTCACCTTGTGGCGCCGAATGGCAGCCACACAGACCCTTGCGGCAGTTCCAGAAAAATATGTACCATGTGTATTATTATGTATATTGTTACCATTATGTGTATTATTACCATTTGTAAACCCTGCATCAATTCAGCAATATAAGGCTGCAATTGCATGGGTGATGTTTCAGGCCAATAAACCATTTATTATTATTATTATTACTTCCTACATTTCAATGTCTATCTTTCATACAGATCGCCTTGGAACAGTTAAAAATGAATTGAAATGGAAGACTGTGGAGGAAGGTCCTACGATTCCACTTGTAGAGAGGGATGGATCGGGTTACGTCCTTACGTCTGACGTGGCGTCTCTACTTCGGGATGTGGACTCTGGTGAGTCAATAGACGCCCTCGCTATGTTGGAACTAAACTAGCCTCTACCAGGTTTCGGAATAGAAACATGGGAATTTGGCAAAGTAAAAAGTCCTCCATGCACGTAAGTCCATTCACTAAACTTCTAAAGCAACTTTCTCACGGTCGGAAGAGTCCACTTCGAGTAGGGGGAAACAGGTTCTTTTAATTATAGAAATTACTCTGTGAAAAATACTACATGTGCATGTGGCATTTCTAACAAAGTTACCTCTTATTTAGATACCTATAAACAGGAGTACAATTGCAAATAATGCATCAATTATTACATCTAATTTGTTTAATAAAATGGTTCCCCCTACAAATAAAAATCCCCATACATCAAAGACTTTATAGTGAAACCCTGGACCATTGAATTTGTGGCAACTTGAAGAGTGTGTCAATGTGGCTATTTGTTTGAATGATGGCTATGTATAATGTAGCTGTAGCATACCTAAAGTGTATAATGGGAAATATAAAATGTATACTACCGGTAGTATTTGGGAATTGGGGAAAGATAAAAAAAGAAATAAAATAATTCTTTTGCCAATAACTTTTACACATTTCTGGAAAATTGTCTTAAGCATATATTTAGGATATTGTAAATTTGTTTGACACATGCAGAGACAGACATTACCGTACATACACAGGGTAGTGTTTCGCGCGGGAATGCTCAGGGGGCGGAGCTACCGACGGGTACACGTGCTACAGCTGGCTCCTCCAGACAACGCTATTGTGGCGGTTTTTAGTTAGGATCATGTTCCCTACAATCTGGGCACTGGGGTTCAGATGGAACAGTAATGTACTTCATGTGTGCAGTGCTTGTCTAGTGTACTGCAACACTTCCACGTGATATCCGCCCTTATAGCGAGGAGTCCTTCCTATTGCTGTCGGTTGTTCTGGAAAAGTATAGAATAAACTTTTCC